AAAAAAAAAAAAAGCTTTATTTTTAAAAGGATAAATCAAAATGTTAAACTATGAACTGACAAGATAGAGGTACGTTGGTACCAGTCAGCTAATTCTTAACATGAACATTCTGTCCTAGTATGTATAGTGATGAGTAAATTCTTTTATTTTTTTTTTTGAGACAGAGTCTCACTTTGTTGCCCTGGGTAGAGTGCCATGGTGTCACAGCTCACAGCAACTTCAAACTCTTAGGCTCAATGATCCTCTTGCCTCAGCTTCCCAAGTAGCAGGGACTGTAAAGCGCCTACCACAAAGCCTGGCTATTTTTAGAGACCAGGTCTCACTCTGACTCAGGCTGGTTTCAAACTCATGAACTCAGGCAATCCATCTTCCTTGACCTCCCAAACTGCTAGGATTACAGGCATGAGCCACTGTGCCCAGCTGAGTAAATTTTTTTTAAATGCTGTTTTCTGTATTACACCTAAATGATCTATAGTGATTTGGAGCCCAGTGTGGTAGCTCATTCCTGTAATCCCAGCGCTTTGGGAGGCCAAGGCAGGAGGATTGCTTGAGCCCAAGAGTTTAAGACCAGCCAGGGCAACAAGGCACAACTCTATCTGTATTAAAAGATAATTTTCTTTTTATTTAAAAAAATTTGGGGCGGTGCCTGTGGCTCAGTGGGTAAGGCACTGGCCCTATATACCAAGGGTTGCGGGTTCAAATCCAGCCCCAGCCAAACTGTAACAAAAAAAATAGCCAGGCATTATGGTGGGTGCCTATAGTCCCAGCTATTTTGGAGGCTGAGGCAAGAGAATCGCCTAAGCCCAAGAGCTGGAGATTACTGTGAGGTGCAATGCCACAGCACTCCACCAAGGGTGACAAAGTAAGACTCTGTCTAAAAAAAAAAAATATATATATATATATATGTATGTGTGTATATCCTAAGAGTCCTGTATAGGTATCTGATAGAATGCAGATTCATGACAAAATGTAGACTTTGCAATGGTGATCTTTAAAGATGTGCTAGAGCAAGGGTACCCGAAGGCTATGGTCCTCAACCCCTGGCTGACCGCTACTAGTCAGCAGCCTGTTAAGAACTGGGCTGTACAGCAGGAGGTAAGCAGTGGAAAAATAAGCAAAGCTTGAGCCCAGAAGTTTAAGGTTGCAGTGAGCTATTATGATGCCACTGCATTCTAGCCCAGGCAACAGAGTAAGATCCCATTGGAAAAGAAAAAAAAAAAAAACTAGCACAAAAGGGTATGGAAGCAACAACTTCCTTACTGCTTATTTTGTTTCTCCCATACATCTGCCGCTGCTCTTGCTTTGAGTATTCTCTTTAGCAGAACTACATTCAGTATATGAAAATGGTATGGACGCCATCATTACTATGTGAAAAAGAGTTCAGTCTCAAGGGCTCTATTAGTTTGGGCTCTGCATTAGGGAATCAGGATCATGGATGACTTTTCCTCCTAAATCTTTGAATAAAGTTTTAACAATAAAAACATATATGCATTTTTAAAATACAATATATATCTACCCTGTGACTTAGCAACTTCACTTCTAATTATTTACCCGGGAGAAAAAAAAAAAGAAGTATGTCCAGGATGTACACAATAACACATATGAATCTCAAAATCATTATGCTGACTCCAAAAAGCTAGACAAAAAAAAAGTATACATGTAGGATTCCACTTATATGAAACTCTCAGACAGACAAAAACTATCTATGCTGGCTCAGCGCCTGTGGCTCAAGCGGCTAAGGCGTCAGCCACATACACCTGAGCTGGTGGGTTTGAATCCAGCCCGGGCCTGCCAAACAACAATGATGGCTGCAACCAAAAATAGCCAAGTGTTGTGGTGGGCGCCTGTGGTCCCAGCTACTTGGGAGGCTGAGGCAGGAGAATCGCTTGAGCCCAGGAGTTGGAGGTTGCTGTGAGCTGTGATGCCA